GAAAGGGGGAGGCAGCAGGAGGGGCCCAGGCGGTGTCTGTGCGGGGGTGGGCCGGGTGCAGGGTAATCTAAGGAAGCTGGCACACCTTGTGTACCTCTGGCAGCTAACTTACTGCTCCTGGAGCGACCTGCCCCTCCACCGACGCTCCTGACAACTCGGGTTTTTCCACGTTAGTGTCCTGAATTACGTCTTAAGCAATTGTGTCTGAATACATTTATTTTTTTTTTTCCCTGACTGACTAATTTTTAGTTGGATGCTGATAACTATGAGACTGATCCATGTCTGAAAGAGATTCGAAGAGCAGAAAATTATTCTTGGATGGATATAGTGACCATACATAAAGACAAGCTTCCAAATTATGAGGAAAAGGTATGCGAGTCTTTGATTTGAATGAGGATCTGCACGCTGAAGTCTACCGCTAGAGTGTGCAGTTGGCTTCTCAACACCTGCACACCCTGAGCAGGGGCACAAAGATGAGATTTCCACGTGTAAAATACATCCCGTACTGAAGTCCGTAACATTAAAAAAGTAGTTTTGATACTATTTTAAAAATAGCAGAGGCCTTTTGCTTCTATAGATTGCCTTCAAAGGTTTTAAGGATAGTTTCCATCACTGTGTCATTTCAAAACTAAGATTCCTACCAGGAGAGCCCTGCTGATGCTGACCTGTCCTCGGAGAGCCTCCCCAGGATGAAGGCAGGCAGTTGCCAGCTGGGCGTGGGCTTTGAAGGCTGGAACATCCTAATGGCTGCTTGCAAAATACGTCTCTTCAAAGTGAATGTTCCCCTCGTGGAATCAGAGGGACACATTCCCCGTACAAGAAGATTTTTTTTTTTTTTTTTTTTTTTAAAACCTTGGGAAGCTGGTACCATGGTGATTTCATAACAGCTGAATGCAAACGGTGCCAGGCTTTCAGATGAGCCTCCTAGAAGGAGCTTTCTCCTCCCAGCCTCCAGGTGCTGGCATACTGCTCTGACATGAGGGCAGCAACCCAGTGGCACTTCCATGTTTTCCTTAAATTTCCATTTACCAGTTTATTTTAAGCCCATTGTGTTATACTGGTTTTAAATTGATGAAGAAGGTAAATTAGGTAGTAACTCAGGTTGCCTGGGTGGGCTCTACCTGACACAAAGACGGGCCGTTATTGACAGGGTATACGGACTTTTGCTCATCTTGCCGTGCTGGATCGGTACTGGCTCAGGGACGCCTGCACTAGTATGGCTAAATAGCATCCAGGCCTGAGCAGGTGATAGTACTGGGCATTGCGCTGCTCTCTGTGCACTAACCTGCTCAGGTCTATATTAATTGAGCCTTTAAAGCATGTTTTGTTCTGTGCTGGGAAATATACAAAGAATTCACCATTCTGGAAAAAATGAGAATGTTGCTGCTGCTGCCTGGGAGGAGAGAGCCTGGAGCTGGGGCTCACTGTGTGGGGGCAGGCGTGACATGCTGTTTACATCAGACTGCTGTAGATGAGCCATGTTTGGCAATAACTGCATTTCCACATAGAGTTGTAGTAGCTGTGGGGCTAATTCAACCCTACACCAGTGTAAAAGAGGGGGGATAATCTGTAGCTCTGTTTTATTTTTGCATGTCGGGGAAAAAAAAAGGCACAAAATGATCAAACTGAACAACTGCGAGGACCAAATCCTGCGGTGGGAAGCTTTACCCGCCTCTCTCTCAAACGCGTGTAAGCATTACTGTTATTCAGAGACTGGTTATGTGCAGCTATAGCTGCTGTTTCTTGTCAGAGAAATTCCAAAGGAAATGTAACAGCCTACTTAGAAGTGTCCTGAGGCAGGGTCTGGCTGGCTGGATTGGCCATTTTAACCACGTTGGTCTCATCTGTTAGTTAAATCACTGTGCAGTTACCTTTTGAAAGCCTTTGTCTGCTTTGCCACATGTTTCTACCAGATTTCTTTGCAGTTTTTCTGTGTTCAGTAGTTTTAAGAGATACTTGCTGTTCCTAGATAAAAACATTTTATGAAGAACATTTACATCTAGACGATGAAATTCGCTACATCTTAGATGGATCTGGCTATTTTGATGTTCGAGACAAGGATGACAAATGGATCCGGATTTCCATGGAAAAAGGAGACATGATAACCCTCCCTGCTGGCATATATCACCGATTTACACTGGATGAGAACGTATGTTGTTATAGATTACTGTAAATTTTGATGACAAATCCATGCGAGTATATATCACGTTAGTAACTACATGCCCTGAGACTTGCAGTTCATTAGCAAAACGTATTAAATATGAAGTAGGAATATGAAAAATACTAAATAATTCACAGCATCTGAACCTTTCATCTCCAGGTCACAAATCCTGCAAGTCATTGCCATGTGATTTCTGTAGCATATCTTATGTGACAGCGGCGTGAGAGCCAAGCCCTGCGGCTGTCCCTCCCACAATTGCCCCTGCTGTCGGTTGAGGTGGATATGGTGTAGATGGATCCTTCTGTGTTGCCTTGTTGTGTATCTTCGTGGGGATAGACAGAGCATATCTGTGTCGAGCTGTGGCATTTTTCATGAGTGCTAAATTCACCTTCAGGGAAAGATGGATTTAAGGTCCAGAGCCACTACTTGCAGCTAGCATGTGCTAGGCTGGATGCTGGCTTCACAGGAGGTGACCTGCTTTCGGAGCGTAGTTTTGGCAATGGGATTGTGAGATTGGCACATGTAGTCCTATCTGTGTGCGTTTCCTTGTGGACTTTTATAAATATGTTTGTAATCTCAGCATTACCCCTGGAAAATGGGGAAACGTGTGCTGTCTCCTGTGTGGCAAAATCCCATCTCTGGCGCGGTCATGAGAATGGTCTACTTTTGAATCAGCTGTCCAGATAGCGGTTGTCATATACGTAAAAAGGGAATATGCTGCTATGGTGAAAAACCCGACTTTTCATGTCTGTATTTTGAGATCCATCAGCTACAATTGCTAGTTTAAGGCTTTTTCTTTACATAGACAAAATGTCAGGGGTTATGGGTTGAATCTGCAAGAAGTCTTAAATGTTTGTCCACTTCAGGAACTTCAGTCCAGAAGTGCCATCTTCACAGTAAGTTCTTTAGCTACTACCAGAACCTTGCATTTTGCAGCTAAGTTCTTTAGGTACCTAACTTTATTCTTGATGTTGCTGAGCACCTGGGTGCAAGATAAGCACTTAGCAGTGTTTACAAAATAGGTAGGGTCCAAACCTGTAGCATATTGGACAGAAGAGGAGAGGAGAGTTCCCCATAACTCAGTGGTTGGAGCACTTCTGCAGGACATAAAACCTGATTTTCTGCTGCTACAGCTGGACTTTTGCACTTGGCATTCTTTTGGTTAGCTGGTGGCAGGGGCTGTTGCTTTTTCTTTTGGAATCTCGAGACTTTTCACTTCCTGTAGCATTATTTTTTGGCTAGTTTATGCACTCCCTATTCAGCTTTATGGCCCTCACTTTGAAATTTCTGGTGTTCCTCAGGCATTGTGTAGCCATCTTGGGGATTCTGATTGCTCTTGTTTAACTAAGCAAGTAGGAATTAGATGCTGCATTGCTCAGTATTGTGGATCCCGTGCAACATGATTTGCATAAGACAGGATTTTTTTTGGTTTCATTGAAATGAGAAGTCCTGTCTCTGCCTGACCTGGAGGTGCTGGTTATGACACGATAAATACATCACTGTGTAGGTGCAAAATCTCCCACTGCAGCAGCTAGGAGCAGGAACAGCAGCGTAGTGGCACAATTTCCTAGAACGCCTGAAGCTTTCAGTCCATCTTGAAATAGTTTCAAAAATTGCTGCAGAAGTGCAAATGAAACAATTAACTTCAGAATTAAGATCCCACAGAAAGGAGCCCTTGAATTACTTGTGACTTCTTGTTCTTTGACAGAATTACGTGAAGGCAATGAGGCTATTCGTGGGAGAACCCGTCTGGACAGCATACAACAGGCCGGCTGATGATTTTCCTGCTCGGAAACAGTATATGAAGCTTTTGGCTGAGGAAGCACAGTAATGGTGCCTGAGACCTGACAGGTGGAACAGCCTGAAGACCTGTCAGAATAAATGTGACTGGTGGCTTTTCACTGATTAGACTACTTCTATTTACATATACGCTTAGAATCACAGAATCATAGAAAAATTTAGGTTGAAAGGTCATTTGGAGGTCATCTAGTCCAACCCCCTGGGACATACCAGGCCGACTGCAAAGTTAGACCAAGTTGCTCAAGACCTTGAGGTTTGGAAACCTCCAATGGTGGAGGTTCCACAGCCTGTCCGGGCACCAGTTCCAGCACTTAGCCGCTCTCGTAGGCAAGCATTTGTTCTCCATGGCCAACTCCCTGGTCGCAGCTTGCGATTGTTGTCTCTTGCCCTTTCATCGAATGCCTGAGAACAGCCTGACTGTCTTCTCTGCAGTCCCTTCTCTAGTGGGAAACTGTAGTTAGGTCTTCTCTCAGCCTTCTCCAGGATAGGCAAAACCCGTGCCCTTAGCCGGGCTGTCTGCACCCTGAGTTGTTAAGGAAGATGTTCAACACACTTTGCCCTAATTTTGACTACTGAGGAATGCC